AACGCGCTAGATGATTCCACCACGCACTTTATTTACTCTTATAATAACACTATAGACGTTTAAATTAAGAAATGGTATAATAAATTACCTTTCCGATCAGAAAAGACATACATTTCGAGGAAGGGATGTTATAATCATCATGTTTATTCAAAGTTAATAGCAGCTGCGCTGATTGTCAGTTGTTGTCATGGAGAAATCCTGTAAATAGAAACTCTGTAACGGTAGAGCCATCGCCGACGACTGATGACGTATCGGGTTCAAGAAGGGTTGTTCCATTTCGTAGGGGAATATTTCAACCCCTTGGCCCTTGTAACTCCGTTTTAAGGGCCAAGGGTTACACTCGAAAACAAGGGGTAGGGCCAAGGGGTGAATTGGGATTGAGCCTAAGTCTCCTAAAGCCATATACACTCTCAGAAAAAAAGGTACAAAAGCTGTCACTGGGGCGGTACCTTTTCTTAAGGTACACTTTTGTACCTAAAGGGTGCATATTGGTACCTTCATGGTACATATTTGTACCATTAAGGTACCAATATGCACCCTTTAGGTACAAAAGTGTACCTTTTGAAAACATATTTGTACCATTAAGGTACCAATATGCACCCTTTAGTTACAAAAGTGTACCTTTTGAAAAGGTACCGCCCCAGTGACAGCTTTTGTACCTTTTTTCTGAGAGTGTACAGTAATAGCTTTGAGTGAGGAATAGATAAAAAGTTAGGGACTTTAGTGCGTGCCATACAAATAGTCGTGTTTCCACTGTCACTTCCAAGGCTTGATCAAGCTTCCTTGGGGCCAACAGTCAAGGTTTTTTGCTCACCCAATAGCTTGGTCCTAAGCTGGCCAACTGTGGCTTGAGGAGTGGTCATGAACAAAGGCGGAGTTTAGCAGATTGTCAACACCGCTTGTTCATTTCCAATGTTATTATATCAGGCTACCAATTTTAACATTTAAAGGGTTAGTTCACCCAAAAATGAAAATTATGTAATTAATTACTCACCCCCATGCTGTACCAACCCCGTAAGACCTTCGTTCGTCTTTTTTTAATTAAATTCGAGAGGTGGATCACTGCTACATAGGCTCTTAAGGGATCGAAACTTGATGGCCCAGAAAGTCAATGAAGAAAATGTGACTACAGTGGCTCAAGTATAAGTTTATCAAGCGAAGAGAATACTTTTTGTGCGAAAAAAACAAGCAAAAATAACGACTTTTTTCAAATCTGTTAGCTTAGCACCCTGTTAGCCCTGGCTTGCACTGGCCCGACAGTGGGAAAGCGGCTTGCCAGAGCCAATGACATTTGATGTTACTGATGTAAAACTTAACTGAAATGTACGCAAAACACAAATGAGTTATGATTTATAGCAGTTGAATTAAAGTTTAAATGAAATAAAACATAAATATTAGATGAAAAACTCAAACAAAAATTGAAGTACTTTAATCTCTTCAACTAAAACCAAAATAAATATAAATTAAAGCTAAATAGAAATATAATAACAAGTCGATATTTACAGTAAATAATTTATATTTTAATCTGCTCATCAAACCAAATCAATTTGAAGTTTGACCAAAAAAGAGAATCACAGGGTGAGTAAATTATGACAAACTATGAAAACAGAGAGTCCATTGCCTGACTGCTTTTAACATTTAGCAAAATAACAAAGCATAGTTTTGTGATTTGCCAAGGTTTTTGTAAACTACTGTATGCAAATAGAAAATGTTAATGGCTATAATATCTTAACCTTTCTCTCTTTCTCTGATCCTGTCTTCCCACACACCCTTGTTTTTAATGCATGTTCGTTAATCCTGTCGGTTATTCATCCAGATGTTTCAGCCCATCATTTTATTCATCCTCATTCTAGTGTTGTTCTCCTCTCTCTCTTATGCCACCATTTTTAAACTTGTATTTCTTTTTACCCTCTTTTTTGTCCTGTGATCTCCATCCGTCCACTCATTAGCATAGTCTCGCCCTTTGTTTCGTTTGTTTGTCAATGTTGTGTATGTCACCATGGTTGGAGAATCACAGGACAGTCACTTTCCAAGCACAGACAGCTCGCTTAAGCACAGAAGTCCGCAAAACCTTAATTTCCAAAACCCTGGAGGCTGTTTAACCCAACTTACAGACATACGGCCGCCATTGGAAGGCACATCATCGAGATGATTTTTTTGTTGCAAAGAATGACTGTTATACATCATGAAAAACATTACATGCATTTGTCAAAGTGAAGACATAAACATCATTGAGGCACTGGAAACTACATTACCCAGAAGACATTTCTTTCATTGAGGCTATCTGGCACATTGACACTTGCTTTTCCACCAAAGACTAAATATGCAACTGCATTTACCATTGAGGAGAATATGACCACATTGGCCAGAATGCCAGCCACTGCACATCAGCTGGAATGATTACCTGTAAGAAGCATGCAAAGGTGAGTTAGAACATGGTATTCAATTGTACAGTCATAGAGGACATGCATACACATGGAAGGATAGACAATAAATAACACGAATCATATGTTTTAATCACAAGAACAACAGTTTTGCATAGATAAATTCAAAAAAAGTTGCACAAGAAGAGCACAAATGTTGCATAAAAGGTTTCATGTGATAAGCTAAAGAACAGCTGTGACTTGGCTGTGGGAAAGTGCTTATGTACATGATAGCAGAATGCAAAAAGCCCCTTCTGTTGCACCAGAGCAGGATCAGTCTCCTGCTGAACGTGCTCCTCATTCCAGCAAGTATATTATGAAGGGGTTAGTCATGATGATCAGCAGTTTGAACATCAGAGCTTGCTTTCTTTATGAGTTTATTTAGCTTGTCGGCATCTCCAGAATTAATCTCTGTTGACGGACCCGAATTTTGTCAAGTCTTCGGCAGTAGTTCCTTAGTATTTAAAGGATTATTTCATTCAGAAATGAAAATTCTGCCATAAAAGGAGAACTTTGGCGCAAAATGAACCTTTGGTGTAATAATAACACATTGGTACCTACAATGTAAAAAAATATTGTAACCTGGTAACCTGGTTGCCTTAAAATTTTAAGTTGATTGAACTGGAAAAAGTGAGTTAATACAATGAAGGAGATTAATTTAACCATCAGAAACTCAAAATTATATGTTATCTGAACTACATAAATTATTTAAGTTGATTTGACAAAAGAAAAAATGTTGTGATTACTACACTGTAAAAAAATATTGTTGGTTTAACTCAAAAAAGTAAGTAACCTGGGTTGCCTTAAAATTTTAAGTTGATTGAACTGGAAAAAGTTAATACAATGAAGTAGATTAATTTAACCATCAGAAACTCAAAATAATAAGTTATCTCAACTAAATAAATTATTATAAAGTTGATTTGACAAATATCATATTAGAAAATATGTTGTGATAACAAATCTTGAAAATATTTTTTTACAGTGTAGTCAACCGTTCTCTGAGATTTGTCTTCATGATAATCAAATGTAAAGAGTTTTATCTCTAAAAACTGTTTCGCGTATACACTAGTATATGGGGGCATTTAATAAGTAAAAAGAAATCGCTAGTTCATACCAAGGCTCAAAATAGCCCCACACTAACACAGTAACATAATGAGGGTCCATACATACAAACCGAAGCAGTGAGAACTTTGGAAGTGTACAGGCCGTTTAATAAGAAGATATTTTATAAAGATATCGTGTATACAGGTGACGCCATCTTTGGAAAACAGTCTCGAACGACGTGCTAAGTGAGCTGAACTGTATGAAGATCAGTGAACTTCTGAACTGAATGAACGGCGTTCGTCGTTCTCGCATGTCAAGCAGGTTCGTTTGAGCTTCTGTTTATGTTTGCTGATCAACGTTAATGTGTATAAAAGCCTAAATTAAACCTTTTCATCATATAAAGCGATTGAGACTCTTCAGAAAATTAGGACTGAACCGCTCAATTCATATGGATTAGTTTTACGATCTCTTTATGAAGTATCAAAGTGGTAGTTGCGCAGCTGTCAATAGAGAAAGCTCTCAGATTTCATCAAAAAGGTCTTTATTTGTGTACGGAATTGAAATTCCATGAGGGTCAGTAATTATTTAATGACAGAATTTTCATTTTTGGAGGAAATATCCTTTTAAATAAAATAAAAAAAAACTATGGAAGCATTGGGTTCATAATTTATTTGGATCACCAAAAAGGGTTTGGTTTGGTTTAGAAGGGTCTAAATTTACAAGACAATTAAACTTAGAGAATATTACGGATGCGTATTGCATTCACTTGAAGAAAAAAAATCTACTCTGTTTTTCTGAATTAATGAGTTAATTTTTCATGAGAAAAAAGTTTTTGCTTTGTTTTTCTGAATTAACGAGTTAATTTTTCATTAACTCATTAATTCAAAAATTAATTCAAAATTAACTCGTTAATTCAGAAAAACAGAGCAAAAACTTTTTTTCTCATGAAAAATTAACTCGTTAATTCAGAAAAACAGAGTAGATTTTTTTTTTTCTTCAAGTGAATGCAATACGCCTCCGTAGAAAATCAACTCATCTGTTTTCTAGGAGTCTCTTTTTGGAATTTGGAAAAGTCATTGCTTCTCATTTTCCTGCCAGCTGAGAAAGTAACATAAGTGAAAAACAGTAAAATGTACATCTTCGGTCTCCATTCTCTGAGGTTTCTGCTTTGTTGTTTTCCTTCTGCATTATTGTGCCTGGAAACTATTTGAGTCAGAGGCCAATATTAGGGCCGAACTGTCGGCTGACTGTTTATTGCACAACAGCCACATGTGTCAAATAAATACCAGCGTGGGGCGCCCATTAAGAACCGCGGACAGCACACTTAGTATCCGCTAATTCTGTCCGGTGGTATCTTAAAAATAAAATGGACAGAGTGTTTTGAGAGTCACAAATAGCCCAGTTGCCTATTAGGATTAGTAGAAATCGAAACAACTGGAATAAGAGTCACAAGATTGCAATCTGCCAAGTCCTAAAAGCAGACTAGCAACAGTTTCACAGAGGTGGGGTAGAACTGGGTATTTTAAAATAGCCATGTAAACACTCTCCCTCTGCCTTTGTAACTTTAACCTAGAATGTCGGTGACGACAGTCTCTTGCATGGAGACCACAAATGCTGGAATAAATCTGACATTATGACACCGGACACCTAGTGCGTCTGACGTCGCAGGGGTAAATACTTAGAGTCACTATAAAGCCCCGGGACCCCCTCAGGACTACAGTTGTTTACCCCTGAGCTCCGGACAGAGGAAACATTTAAGATCCTACACGAAGGACTTTTACGTCACGCCGTGAGGCATGAGACTCCGGTTGTCTTTTGCGCTGTTACATGCTGTTCGAGTGCAGGGGCTTTCAAAGAAGAGGTGCTACTGAAACAAGAGTGATCTTGATATTTAAGAGACAAACCTGTACTTGAGCAACATACTCACATTCTGGAGCAAGCTCATGAGAGGGAATTACCGGAGGAACCAATAATTTTAACTGGTAAGGATTAAGAGAGCTTGTAGACAAGAACGGAACAGACACATCCTCTTTTAAACCCTTTAAAGTAGGACATTAAAACTAATATTTGAAGCTTTTCTGTGATCTTTCACTTGGGCTGATAATGTGATACACCATTAAGAACCTTGCAGCCACACTGCTCACACTTGACATACATAATATAGATAATATGTAGATATTTTTGGAACTGTCTGTGAATACAGTATTAGTAGTATGACTATTGTGATCAGAAGTGTGCATGCATGTTGTAATATAAACCGGTTCACACTTACTCTTTATGTCTTTTTAGTTTAATGACACACAATTGCAGAGGGTATAAATATGCCTATGTCATATGTTGGTACATTCTGGCAATTTCAGGAGTTAAACTGGGTGTCATGTTTCTTGATGGTAGAAAAGTCCACCGCCGTAAATCAAAGCTGTGTTACAGAAAAACTCAGTGACGTTACCACGGAAAGGATGCAACTATTCTGAGCTCATCCGAGCGGGCAAAGGGTTCTGCTCTTGCTTGGAACTTTGACCTCATCCCTATCCCGACTCGAGAGAAGTGGTGTTGCTTCATAATTAAAGATTTAAGCTGGCTGTAAGGTGTAGGTTCCTATTTTGCAAGGGGCAACCAATTACCCTTCACTATTTTGCCTTTGATCAAGAGAGATCAGGTTACCCCAGAGAGACTTTCCATGTTATAAAACTGACTTCAGAATCCTTGAAGTCCCTTTAGGTAACTTGAGCATGTCTAATGAAGTTGGTGTGTAAATAACGTGCTGACAATTTTGACAGTTAAGGGCTGGTTTGAAGGACAGGGAATGCATATAGAAATGAGTCAAAGTTTTAAAGCAGGTGTCCAGAGCAAATAGCTGGGATTTTGTTTCCTTTCATAGGTCTACTTGAATGCAATACAGTCAGGAAGACTTCAATAATGTTTAGGCTCATAACACCTTTGAACTGTAAGGCAATCCACAGTTGACACAGTAGAATTCATTTATTTAACTACTCTGCTTACTTAAGAGTACTCTAAATAATCAATAGGCTGTTTCTCAATGATGAATGTCTTTTTTTGTCTTCATAGAGGTATTGGTGGACTTGCCAATGTGGTCACTCCAGTGACCTTTCAGGAATTGCAGCATAATATTCTGAGCAGAGACAAACAAGCGCAAAAGAATGGCCGCATTGGAATTGCACTGTGGGCCGGAGCCCAGGAGTTGTGTGTGGGGCGGAGAGAGAGCTGACCTGCTTGATAGTTTTGACTCCGAGATGCAGGAATGGGAAGATCAGCTACAGGACATGCAAAGGAAGATTGAAGAGGTGAGAAAAACTTTCAACTGCAGCGACACCAGTCAGTGTGACAGAATCCAGAGAGAAACTCATTCCGATCCTTATTTAAAGATGTAAATAAACATAAATAACCTCTGATTTGACTATAAACAATGCCAAAAGATCTTTCCCACTGACCCCTTTCTGAAGAAAGCAAAGAATTGCATGCCTACACATTATACCAGAAGTATTTGAAACATTTGCTTCCATGTAGGCAAAGTTTGTCTCTAATATTATGGCACGTATTTCAGTTGTACAACGAGGTCAAAGCACGAAGAGAAGCCAGCGAAAGCAGCCCAAGCAATGTCACAAACAACAAAAGCCTGGACATTACTTTGCTTCCTGTCAACTCTCAGTATAGACACCAGGCCAATGGTTATCACGAACCCCATGGTCACCCCAACAACAACCTCCCAATTCGCCAATCCGATGAAGTAAGAGCAGACCGTTCAGTTATGCAAAGCCTTGGGTTTCACCACCCCAGTGATTACTGTAATGGCTCCAACAATTACACACTTAATTCCCTGAGCAACGGCAGCCATTATCCTGCCAGTTGTCATGATATTGAAAGGCAAGATGCCACCCTAGACATCCTCAATGGATATCTCCAACAGGGCCCGCATTTTGGAAAGAACTTGGGGAATCTTGGAAATCCAAATGCAGTGAGTACCTCTCACACTATTTATCAATATATCCTTCATCTAGACTCTTAAACCCCATGGATTGGTACCTTTGATATCCCTCTTATATCCCATATCTCCCTTTTTGCTATCAGAACCCTAAGGTATATCCAGTTACACACAGTTACCAAGATAGCATGAAGACTAGCCTGGTGACAAACAGGTAAAGCCTTTTCTATCTCAATTTATCAGAACGAATCCAATTGTTTGTTTTCTTGTTGGAAGATTGACCAGTTATAAGTGTGACTACTTTTGATTGATTTGTTTTTTCACATCAGGACTGCCTCATGTGTAGTTCTGGATGAGTTTGAGGAGGCTGAGAACCACAAGAACAAGAAGTCAACAAGTTGGGATGACTCCCAAGCCCGCCATGTTAGCTGGAAAGACCCAGTTTCGTCAAACGAGCTTCCCCCTAAAAATTCAGCTTCCAAACTGGCAATCAGACAGAGAGATGCTTCTCCCGTAAGCCCTCGTTCCACTTACCATGAGTCATCACAACAATCTGACAGGAAGTGCCTCTTGCTTGACAGGAAATCTGGCAGCCCATCAGTGTTGCGTAAGTTTGGTGCCATGTTGCAGGAGAACGAGGGAAAAACCCTGATAGAGGACGGTCTTGTGACCACCGTTGTCTCCACTGAAACCCCAAGGCACTCCAGCACTCCTATTTGCCAGAGCAAGATTGACGCCAAGCGGGCATCCACACGTGCGCCCGTCAAGAAATGCCTTGCAAACTGTGACGTACTGGTAACAGAACTGGAGTCCAGCCAGGAGCCTTGGGCAGCTGGTCCTTCTAGTGGGAGGGGTGGTAGTACTCTTGAACAGTATGGTTTGGCATATAACTTAAGCCCATCACAGTCTCACCTTAAATCAAAGTATCACAAGGCGCCTCCAGGGCCAAAAGCCCACAAAGCCGGCTTCCAGGGTGAGGACCTATTGTCTGACTACCAGATGGTGGAAAGGATTCTGGCAGCAGGAACTCAAAACTTCAGTAAGACACACACAGGGCTTGGTGTTGATAAGACAAGACAGGGAAATGACAACTTGGAGCAACTTCTAGAAATGATGGAAATAGAGAACAACAGAAGTCAGAGGGCCACATTCACCCAGCAACTGGACACCAAGCAGGTGAAGAGGGTATTCAAATGTGATCTGCACACACACACTAAATTACAATGCAATATTCATCCTTGCCCGAGCGATGGTGCAAAGGTAGTGCACATGCTCTCGGCCAGTGTTCCTCATTCCTGGGTCTGGAGAGCCTATTTGTTTTAAGTTCAGCTCCAACTCTGCTTTAACACAATTGGGAGGTTCCAGTTATTTTAAAATTCAGGTAGACCCAAACATATCGATCAGTTACTTCAGTCATGTTAAATGAAGTCGAAACTAAACTCTGCAGGAAAGTGGTTCTCCAGGACCAGGAATGAGCTGTAGTGCTCCCGATCCCATTCTCCCCTCTCTCTCTTAAGGCCAATTTATACTTCTGCGTAGGGTGCACGCAGTAGGTCCTGTGTAGCATACGCACAGACGCGTACCATACCGCGCACCACCTCAAAAATTTAACTAAACGACGACACGGACCGCAAGATCTGTGATTGGTCGGCTTGGTAGCATCGCATTTACTCCTACGCATTTCCGCACGTACCATCTCATGCATTTCCACGCGTACCATCTCCTCCGACGTCTTCTGCCCTCTCGTTTATGCCCTTTAGTTTTAGTAATTCCACTTTTCCAGTTTTTCCACCTCAATAAGCTCCAACTCCAACATGATCCGCTCTCTTTCAGTCGCCATTGCTTGTAGTAACCTAGCCTCGAGGAATCTAAACACAGTGGAACATTAAAACCCTCCGCCGCCAACTAGCGTTTCGGAGCAGTACTGCAGAGCAACCACGACCTGAACGCAGAAGTATAAATGCTCACAACACTACGGCGTACCCTCGACGCAGAAGTATAAACTGGCCTTTACACTACTTTCTTTTCCGTGTCCTCTAACCTCCCAATTAAAGACAATATTGGTTGTCAATAAAGACAATATTGTACCATATTGGTACATAAAATGCAAGGATATTATTCACCCAAGTATTGATCGTTTATGCACAAAGATATTTACATTCAAATATTTTCCCCTCCAGGTCAACCACGAGTCATCTGTTGCCCCAAGCAGTAGCAATTTTTCCCGTCCTGCTAGACCAGCCAATCAACGCCGTCCATCCAGGTGGGCAAAGCATACCCCCTCAAGCAAAATCACCCACACATCCTGCCAATCAAGCCCTGGCCTTAAAGCCAAACAGTTCTTGAATTCATATTCCCGGCACACAGAAACGGTGATCATGTGACCAGGATAGAGCAACATTGAATGGACACATAAAAGGACATTTTCACCAAATGGAATAGACGAACCTTTGACCTTTTTTAGAACACCTTTTTTCTTTTTTGTACATAACCACCACAGCTTCAAAGTAACTTATTACAGCCTGCTAGGATGGCCTATGCTGTTTTCATTCAACTCTACACTGTTGCTTTGGAAAGAAACTCGAGTGGAAATTCTCTAACCTGGTGAACTTCTGTGCCTAGGAACCTTTCATTGCCTTTTTCTCTTTGTTTCTTTGTCATTCTCATTACATTTTTTATTATTTTACTTTTTTTTTTTCTATTTTCCTGAGTGCTTTGTGTACGGTTCAGTTCTTTGGGTGCCATCTAGGGCATTTTTTGTAACCATATAAGCATGTATGCTACACGCATAACATATTTAGGCATACATGGAGTTATTGAGCCTTATCTATTATGCATTATCTGTAAAGGCGTGCGCAAATGTTTTGATGTTCTGTCCAAGTCCATTTCAGTGCTGCATTAGTGCTTCATAATATTGACATACAGAGGTTGTAATGGGCTCATAATCTTTTTGTAAGCCTTATTTGATTGTGCCTGACGTGGGCTGTAACTACGCGGTGCATGGCACCTTTCTGCGGGAACATGTCTGCATTCTCCAGCCTTGTAAAAAAAAAAAACCTTTAAGTTCAACATCTGTGAAAAGTAAATTATATCTTTTGACCATATTATAATGAAGAAATGCTTCGGAATGTTTATTTAATGTTGTGATATGATCCTTACAAAAACGTGATGCTTTTTGTCTCTTTTTTTTTTTCTTTCTCTGTATAATAAACGCAAGTGCTTTGACGAGTCAGTGAAACGCTTGAACTTTAGACTCTGTACACTTCATTGTTTGCTAATATTAGCACTAATATTCATTTTCTGATCAGCGTGCTATTACATTCCCTTGTAATCTGGCTAGCTGATTTTCACCTGGAAGACAATAAAACAGGCAACTTATGGATCAACCCGAGTCAATTAGGGACTTGGGATTGGGTTCTTTTGACTTTTAGCCAGTACACGACCACATAGCAATGTGTTAACGACCACTCTGAGCACCCTAATAATTACATAGCAACAAACTTGCGACCACCAATAATATCCTACTATAACTTGTCCAAGGGCTTGTTGTTCAGAAATGTAAAAATCTAGTATAGTTTCCCGAGTATGTGACAACGGGGGGGTGCATTTTTCTTCTTCAAAAAGTAAACTACAGTATAAGACGCTTCATGCCAACATTGAAGCCCCTCTTTAATTATCTCCTTGTTTAACAGTATTAACATTGCTCTTATCCTACGTTACTAAGCTATTAGGAAGTGTCCTGTTCCTCACTCAGGGTCCTAATGTAGCTTTGCTCTCTCTCTTTGAGCCCCGCTCTCCCGGTTACTCGACCCGCTGCTGAAATGTTGCACCTGTGCCTGAAATAGGAAGCGTGACGTTGTTTTGGTGCCAGAAATCTTAGACGTGTCGGTGCTAAGGGGGACGTGTGATGTCCAGGGGGCATCTCTCTCTGAATCTGTAAATGAGCAATAAAGGCTTCCCTTCATCATAACACCACCCTGGAAGCACAGAGCAGTATCTTAATGAGGTCTTTATATATAGATAGTTGTTCACAACTTACATGTGAGGTCTTCTTAGCACGCCTCATGAATTTGTGATTATAGGACTGGAGTAACCTGGGATTAAATGCACATTTCTTACTGAGTTCAAACCAGCATTGTTCTGGTTACCAGCCCTGAGTCTTAAACCCTTAACCCCTTAACCACCACCTTTGCATCCTTGAAAACCTGATGTTTGTGTAGTGGTGCTTTGCTTACCCAAACAAAACTCTTTGCTAGGATGTTTGTCAAGTGGTTGTAAAGTTGTTTCTTCAGCTAGGGCATTGAGCTAAATCTAGGGCTGTGAAACGATTAATCGCATCCAAATTAAAAGCTTTTGTTTATATATGTGTGTGCAGTGTGTATAATTATTTTGTATATATAAATACACACATATGCATGTATGTATTTAAGAAAAAATGTGTTACTAATATCAAATATTTATATTTATGTATAATATTAATTTTGTATAAATATATATCATGCAAATATTTCTTAAATATATACATGCATGTGTGTGTTTTTATATATACAAAATAATTATATGAAGAGTTCAGATGCAAAAGCCTCTAAGTGCCATTTGAAATTTTCTTCTAGAATGATCATTTTTATCAAGCTTATATATTCAAGTTCAGTAATTTCACTTAAATGACAATTAATAGGTTATCTTCATTGCAATTTAAGTGCAATTACTGAACTTAAACATACAAGCTTGATAAAAATTATCATTCTAGAAGAAAATTTCAAATGGCACTTAGAGGCTTTTGCATCTGAACTCTTCACATAAACACAAACTTTTATTTTGGATGCGATTAATCGCGATTAATCATTTCACAGCCCTAGCTAAATCTTTTATATATTCTGAGGTAAGCTGTAAGACGCCTTAGAAAATGACTAAAGGAATAATCAAAGACGATGCAATTGGTGAATTACCAACAACATCTAATCCTGGATAGCAGAACACAGACAACTTGGCTATATAAAGCTCTGCAAGTGAACACTGATCTCAGATCATCTCGGCCGGTGTCACCTGCTGTTGTAGAAGTGTATGGGGGACCGCTTGAATGTGTAAGAGTTGCCCAGTAACACATCTGTGATGTCAGAGAGGAAACACAACCAGTAAGGAGCCCTTCAGATGTCTTGCCATGTGTCTCCTGCTGCAGTACATTACATAAAGAGAGAGAGAGAGAGATACGATTATGCAAGTAAATGATTAGATACAATAGTGGCCCATAAAGTTAACAAATCAAATGCTTAAACTAAGCAAATTCTATTTCTACATGTTGATGCATCCTGAAGCGCAACTTATAATACAAGTAGTCAAGTAGCCTACATTGTGCATTCTCACATTTTTTTTTTATCAAAATGGGGCGTTATAGAGGGCTGGTTTAGTTGTAACTAGTTACATATTACCCTGAAATGAGAAGCATTTTCATTCAC